TGGCAGCAAGTGATAGTGGAGGAAGAGAAAGAAGCAAAGACACAGTCCACTTACATACATGTACATGGCATATTTTGTCCAATCAGAAAACAGATGACTTCATGCTTTGCACCTGGTCTTCTCCTGGTTTCAAGTCATTACATCATGTCCAGAGTGATTCAGCACTCTCACATCTGTGCACAATGGCAGCTCGTTAATGAAACACATATACAGGTTCAGGCTTATAAAATTTCTATACTCTGACAGAAGGTTTTGACCTGGCGCCGAAATGTCATCAGTGTCGTTTTATGATATGTTCTATTGTAAGCCACCCTGAGTAGACATTGTCTAGAAGGGCGGGATATTAATCTAACAAACAAACAAACAAACCTCGGTGATTCAGCATGCCCAACTCAAGATGAGGTCGCTCCAGTCGTGGTACCTGTCACTATTCAACCCAATGACAGACCACCCATCTATTCCATCAACCTTTGTTAAACAGTACTGTCTAGATATCAGAGCACAGAGTGATGCTGGATTTGGCAGAGCTGTTTTGGCATCCTTTCTACCGTGACGTCCCACCATCTGGTAAGTGAAGCTTGCTAGTCACCCATTTGTGTGCATTCACAGAGACCATGAAGAAGAAAAGGAGGTTGCCTACCTGTAACCATAGTTCTTTGAGTGGTCCTCTGTGAATTCACACATCCCACACATCCTCCCCTCTGTCCGTCACGGTTTATCTTAAATACAGTAACTCTTTTACCTGGGGGACAGTTATCAGGAACTGAGGTGAATCTTGGGTGGGCGGAGCATGTGCTCCACAGGGGAACGTCCCACTAATAATATATCTTTAAGCTCTAGAATCTTCCGAGACGTTCAGCGCAGGCGCCGAACAACCCATTTGTGTGAATTCACAGAGAATCACTCAAAGAACTATGGTTACAGGTAGGTAACCTCCTTTTTCTTGTCTTTGTATGTAGGAATAGAATCCAGTGTACATACTAATATCTTGAACCATTTGCTTAGACATCACTTTGCAAAAGGTTCTGGTTTTATTAGTTAACTCTGATGGCTCCTTCATGATAGGCAACGGTTAACAACTGCGAAACACAAATGTGTGATATGCTGCATAGCTCAGTGGCTTAAGGATCTGGCTGTGGAACCAGAGGTTCAGAGTTCACTTCCCCTCTGTGCCTCCTTAACAGGGGCTGGCTCAATGATTCATAGGTTCTCCTCCGGCTCTGCAGTTCTAAGATGATGATGATGACAATGATCCATTATTTGGTATTGGTAACTCTAGAAGAGTGTGTAGTGAGCACAGCTGTGTTTGTTATTGCTGAGAAAAGGTTGATGGTGCAAACAGATCTTCAGTTCACTAATGGATCCATGCCTGCTGCAAATCCTTGTGTACTGAATCTCTTGATAACATTCCCAATGATAGTTGATTAACACCTCTACTTTTATTCAACTGTTTGCCTCTGCTATTGCCCTAAAAAGGAGCAGTGATGTGTCAGTTACTTAGCAGAAGACATTCCAGGATAGTTTCCTTTAAGTGTGTGTCCTTCTCCTACAACTTCAGGATTGCTTGCCATTGTCCGCTAGCTGGGATGATGGAGGTTTCCTTTTTCAATTTCAGGTTGTAGCCAATGATGTCAGTCCTATTTCACAGGCAGAGTATACAACAGGATACTGGCCTGCAACTCCTAAAATAAGAAACCATCCCAGTTATTGATACCAAGCTTCTATTTAAACTTATAGTATAGGTATGCCCTTTGGTGACATCAGCTAAAGTTTGAGCTCAGTAATTCTGTGTGATTTTAAAATGCTGTACTGAAACTGAAATTTCTTAGGAGATAATAGTGCTAAGTTCCATGAATGCAAAATATAAATTATTTTTGTTTGCTTGTTTATGGCTGTCACGTTCCCGACATCCCTTGGTTGTTTCACCAATCAAAGGGCACAAGCTACGTGTCGTGTCACTGCCACCAGTTGATTACATCAAAATTGTTTATTATAAATCACAGAAGTCCAGGGAATGCGTCATTTTCAAAAGAACCAACTAAAAGTTGTTTATTGTTACAGGTGATGAATCAATGTCGCTAACTCTTAACAAAACCACCTTCCTTTCTACTCTCTACTGCATTCCCAAACTCTCTCTCAACTCCAAACTCCAAAATCACCAATCTCTCATCTCAACTTCCCCACTCCCCCTCCTGCAGAGACTCTTATATCTGGTGACTCCACCTCTCCGGCACTCTCATTGGTAGATGCAAATAGCTTATTACTATTCATGAACTGGGCGGACACCACAATAGCTTATTCTTGTGTTTGTAAGTCTGAAATCTTTATGTTGGTGTTCAACACACATTCAAAATATGGGTTTATTTCTCTGACAGATCGTTTCTTGTAAGACCAGCAAAATCGGATGATGTCCCTGCCATTGAAGCACTAATCAAAACCCTGGAATTGAACAGAAGTATGTTAGATGATTTAGAGAAGTACATATCAGCACGAAGAGATTCAGTAAGATGTTACATTAATTCATGTTGTTTCTTTGAGCTTATACTGTATTTGAACTTATTGGCCAGAATTCTACTGTAGATTTATGCTGGTTAACTTGAATGGTATAAACTATGATTGTGAGATGCAACTAATTCATGAGGTTCTAGTTGTGTGCCAGTCACATGTCTGGGACTGCAATTAGAAAAATTAACAGCCAAGCTCAGTGGCATTGTGATTTATACCATTATAATTACGTCAGTGTAGATCCAGAATAAGATTCTGACCATTTTTACAGTGTATATATTGAGACTGTGTAAATGTGAACTCTTTTGTTTTTACATACATGGAAAGGTCTGGAACTCAGATATTTAATTTCTCCTGCAAAAAACTAAAATGTTCTTTTCACCTTTTAGCTGAGAGTGTATGTGGAGAGAGAAGGGAAATGGAAATTACCATACAGAATATCAATTAAATCACTGGATTATCAAAATGTACACCAATTATTTTCCTTTGTTTATTAGGACGGGACACCAGTACAGGCATTTGTAGCAGATGTTTTGAATCAAGTAGTTGGAATATCAGTTATAAGAAATGAAATGGTAGGTGCTTATTATTACAGTTCTTCTTTCCTTATTTGGTTGGAGAGTGCCATGTTAAATTAACATACACTCCCAAAGACAAAAACACTTCTGTGTCCAAATCCAAGTTTGGAAATAATAGGTTACAAATAGCATTACCTGTAACACATTGCTTTGGAGTGCAATAAAAGTATAACACATTCTTGTTCTGGAAAAGTTGCAGCCAGCATTACTTTTTTCTTGTGTAATGAGTAAAAATTACATTTATGTGTACATTTACATTATGTGTACATATTCATTTTGTAAATGTTACAAATAACAATAATTTTAAAGTCTTTATGGGGTTAAAATGCTTTCTTGGCATTCGGTGTGTGTTTTTCAAAATTTTAAGGTTTTTTTCAAAATAAGAAACGAAGTACCAGTATTGGAAAATTAACCAATTACTTAGCCACTTTCTAAAACAGTACAGTGTTAATATAAGAAGTTACTAGAGGAAGGCTTGCAAACAAGCTATATATCTATGGGTCAGAATACTGTTACTTGCATATGTCAAACAGCATAACTTCAGTGGTGAATCGCTACTCCTTAAGAATCCGACACATGTATTTCTCACTGTGTCCCAAGTCATATGAGTGGCACACAGTGAGGAGTACATACACCAACTTCTTAAATAGCAGCCATTTGATGCTGCGATTTGTTCTGTTTGACTTATGCCAGCACAGTTAATAACACAATTGGCACAATTGCTTTTAAAAAGTAGCATTTCAATGTCTGGCTAAAATAAATATGAGGACATTCCAGTCTGGACATTCTTGCTTCACTACAATGGGAGATGGGGAGAGAAGACAAGATAAATATACCTTATTTGTGTATAAGACAAAATGTTGAGTGTGGGACAGCAAAAAGAGGGTATATTGAATAAACAATTGTCAAACTAGTAAAGAAAATTACCGTAAATGGGTTAGCTTTGTATATTTAACAATTTAGGAGGTTTTTTTTACAGTTTTTCAAAATGAAGCTAAGTTAAAAATAAGACATCAGAAATACATGTAGTATATCTGTACTCTCCTTTCTAGTATAGGCTCAAAACCCTGTTTTGAAATTACAGAATTATTTGCTCCTTTCTGCTGTGTTCTAATAGATATAGTAAAGGAGTTATTCATGGCTTCCAATAATCTTAGGGGTTTCCATTAGTAATGAAGATGGAGCTGTAACTTATAATAACAAAACAGCTACACATTTTTAAAATTATATGAGTAAATGAAATATTGATAAAGAATTTACTGGTATGATTTCCTTTTTAATCACTACCCACTTAGTACTGTATCAGGACACATTCACCTACTGAAATGGGCTTGTGCAAGAGTTTCCTAGTGGGTGCCTCATTGTGTTGGTCTACCTTTTCTTGAAAGCAAAAGAAATACAATACAGCAGGGAAACACAGCTCGTTTTTAATTAATGTATTCACCTAACATCTTTTCTAGGATATTGAATATATTCAATCACACTACAACATTGAAGACTTCATTTATTTCAGTCATCACCAATATGAAGAACATGGCCACCTTTACCATTTTGCTCTGAATCCAATATTCCATCACTATGCCAAACATTTTATGAAGGAAATACTCCGGCTAGCCCACAAATCTTGTCTTTACTATCCTATTTATCCACAGCCTGAGGAAGGCAAGGTAAACTATGAGCCATGTTACTTTTTTGTATCATCTATCATAAAGTATGGGTCAGAGCAAAAAGTTTCTAATGTAGAGTTTTCCAATTGCAATAATGTAAATATTCAGAATGATTCAGGCTTAAATGTGGAAGGGTGGACATCTGTGGAGTGCTAAAAGAATCTGCATAAATTCAGTTTATAACATAAGTGGATGAAATCCTGTTGCTTTGCATAGCTCAGGGAGTCAACTTCTCCATAAGTTCCATTCATTCATATGTACCTTCTCCAGTTGTAACTTACTTTAGCACAGTAAGTGGAAACTAGATTAGGCCCACTTGAATGAATGGAACCTATGGTGGAGTTATCTCAGTAAATCCCCACTGATTCAATGGGCCTATTCTTGTGCGACTTACTACACTAAGCAACAGGATTTCAGCCAGTATATAAAAACATACAGAGCAACTGATTAACCACCCTCTTCCCTGAAATCTTTATTATGAACCAGTTTGCACGGAGGACTTCAGAAAGCCATACAACATAAAAAAAGAGTAAAAAATCCTACTGCTTCCCAAAGTAGGCTGAATTGGCCAGTTCTCAATTTAAAGGATGTGCTGCAAAGGAGAATATAATTGCAAAGGGTGGTATTGTAAAGGATAAGGTCAGACCACTTTAGAAGTCAGCAAAGGTTAGTTTTTGTGCCACAGATTACTTGTAGTTCAACATTTTAAAAACTGACAACCATGCTGAAAATTGTTCTCAGTGAGAGTTTCTTCATAGGCTTACATACATTTCTGTAGTAATGTAAAATGGATAAAATAACTATGTAAGAGCTTTTTTAAGAAGAAATATACATTTTACAGTACTGTATGTATACATTGGAATATATGTATATATTATCAGAAAAGCAACTAAGCTGTGCTGCATTTGGTTAACCTCTGATTTCTCAGTGGGATGCAGAGAGTCAGAGAAATTACAGGGTTAATGTTGTTGTTGTTGTTGAGTCGTTAAGTCATGTCTGACTCTTCGTGACCCCATGGACGAGAGCACACCAGGCCCTCCTGTCTTCCACTGCCTCCTGGAGTTGGGTCAAATTCATGTTGGTAGCTTCGATGACACTGTCCAACCATCTCATCCTCTGTCGTCCCCTTCTCTTCTTGCCTTCACACTTTTCCAACATCAGGGTCTTTTCCAGGGAGTCTTCTCTTCTCATGAGATGGCCAAAGCTTCAGGATCTGTCCTTCCAGTGAGCACTTAGGGTTGATTTCCTTCAAAATGGATAGGTTTGTTCTCTTTGCAGTCCAGGGGACTCTCAAGAGTCTCTTCCAGCACCACAATTCAAAAGCATCAATTCTTTGGCGGTCAGCCTTCTTTATGGTACAGGGTTAAAAATAATGCCAAAACAGAGCAGTCAGAACTGTGACCTGGAATCACTGGTGCCTCAAGGCATACCCCCAAATGGCTGCCTGCCCATAAAAGACCCTCATATGCCCCCCCTTCCCTTTCCTCCTTCCATAAGGCCAGGATGAAGAGTTCTGAAACTCCTGTTTCTGCAAGTCATTAACCACAACTTGCCTCATTTCAGACCTAGAACTGTATTTACTCTTCATTATGTTCAATTTAAACAAGACAGTTGTTTTAAACAAACTGATAGTTTGCAGTTGCCTTGCATTGAAACTAGCAGCAAGTGGATTCACATATATTTTCTAGGGTGCTGATTTGCATAGTTTGCATACATCGTGTGCATCACTACAACAAAGTGTGTCTATCTGTATACATTTAGATTAAAAAATACATTTAGGATTTCCGTGGCACTTACTTTACTCCCTCTCTTTTGGGCACCAATGAACCATAGTTTCTTGGTTCAATCTGCATTACAAACTATAGTCAAACTAATTTACATTTAAACCATATTTCATTTCTTGAAGCTCTAAGTTCTCCAGTCCTTAAGAGGAGCTTTGAGATCCAGAAAAGCCCTAGATGATAAATAGAATATTGCACATGGCCGTTCAGATCCTACACTATATGATAATATTCATAGACTTGTAAAATAACCTGTTACAAGTGAATGTTTTTATTTCATCAATGTAAATATCCTCTGGCAATATTCATTGTGATGCAGGCGAAATTGGGAACAGTATGTCAAAAATTATTAGAAATAGTTTCCTTCTAGGCTTAAAATAAAACTATTTTGTTCATTTTATGTCATGTTATTTCTCTTTCAACAAAAGTTGGGATTCTTTTTTATTTATAACGCCACATAGGCACTATTTCAATATATTTTTGGCTGGAATCCTGCTGCATAAGTTTTACCAAGTAAAGCTGACGACGACGTTTATCAGCAATGGTGATTTCTCAGAAAGTACACATTTCTAACTTGTTTCCCGAAGGTCCCAAGACTCCGGATATAATTGCTTTCATCAGCAGGAAGCTGGTGGGTGGGCATGGAGAAGGAGAGAGAAGTCTTTAATTGCCTAATTTACCACTCCAGGATCACTTTAGCAGATTTTAGAGGGAAAGAGAGGCAAAAAGGTGATGGAGCATGTTATTTGCTTTTTTATTGCTGTCAGTGCTGTTGACCCTTGCAAACTATTTGACATTATTGGCAGTGAAAATTTTCAGTAAATAAATACTTCTCCCTCCCATCTCAGTTCCCAACAGTTTCCTGACGTTGAAAGTGATTGTATCAGAGAGCCTCAGGACCTCAAGAAGAGAAGTCAGAAATGTTTGCCTAAAAAATGGCTGCTGCTACTGACACTATCTGTCACATATCTTAATGGCAATAAGATTTCAGCCTTTGTCTTGCATTATTTTTATGTATCTTTCATTGCTCTCCATCTATTTATATATGGATTATAATTAAATTTGTTGTGGTATTTTTCTTTATATTTTGTGTTTATTAAAAGATGAGGATGTTTTTCTCCTTGTTTATACCTTTTTATTAACAGTTTTCATTTGGGGAAAAGTTTCATTTTATTCCAACTGCATTTTCTAGCTACACGTTTAACACTTCTTTTGCCAGACTACCAGAGATGAACAGTGATCATGCAGCTCTGCTTAATGAGGGTAGATGAAGATGATTTATGATTGTTGTGGCGGAGAATATCCTCCTGGGGAAGCTACTTGTACTGCAAAATCCTATAAACCAAACCACTTGTTTATCTGTCATTCCCACTGAGATAGTAATATAATTACTCTCATAATTATCTTCATTAGTGTTGGGAATTAGCTGCAATCCATTCCTCTGCTTTGAGAGTGTTTATTCATTTTGGGGGGTGATATTTCTCTCAGATTTAATCAAGGGGATAAAGAATTCTTATATTTACAAACCACTACTAAGAACATCTGTGCTGTTCTATTCTGACATTCTCTGTGCTAAAATACAGCGTGTCCTTCAGTTCCAGAATCCTTGTGCCCATTCGCTGACATCTGCCCTTCATTACATGGTTCCCGTGCGACCAAGACGACAGATTGTCTATCCTCTGGAAAAACTTGGCATAAATGCTCCATCAAAAGAGGTCTCTGAGGATCAGGTGGGTAACAGAAGCAGCAGCAAGCAAAAGGCATAGCTCCAGCTAAATGTAGGATTTGGCAGATGGGATGACATTACTGTCTTAATGTTGGTGAGCTGCTTCTTAATTACCTTGAACCTGATATTCATGCCCTTACAATGTCATGCTCAGCAGTATCATTTTCTAAGGATTCATTTCAAAATGAGGACTACAACCAGCAGCCTTTAAATTATTTAGAATTTAATAGATAATAAGATCTGAATTTAAAAGAAACAGATTTGCTGTATGAATATTTTAACTATTTGATCATTTACAGCAAAGCAAAGTGTCTAGTTCTGTGCTTGTGATGGAAATCCCCTCCCTTCTGCTGTTTTGATAAACACATTTCCACTATAGGAAAAAAAAGGTGGGCAAAGTCTGGATTGTGGTCAACAAACAAAGGTTGACTCAAAGCACAGGGTCCTCTAATCCAGCATCTTGTTTCCCACAACGAACAGCTCATTGCTTATATGAAGCCCACAGTACTCCCTCACTATTAACAGTAATATTAACAGTGAGTAATATTTAGAACCATACTATCTTTAAGGTTCCCTCTAGCTGTCACAGTTTAATAGCCCTTGGTAGACCTCCCTGAATTTATTTAATTTCTTAATCCTGCCATCACAGTAGGTGGGGTGAGACAGATCAGGTCACTTATATGTATGCTTTGAAGCTAGTGATGCAGAATGCATATAATAAGTGTGCCACCTGTTGCTTTGTACAGTATTTGGATTCCTAAATTAGGGTCTTTACATGATTGTATAGGGAACATTTTGTGCTCTCATAGCGCCTTCTGTGTTTGGAAAGGAGCAAATTTTCTGCACTCTGATTCTCTTTTCACGGGAAGGGAGCCATATATTATACACTCAGGAGCAACTACAGCAATCTTATTTATACTTCATCTGGTGTATTTATTAAGATATCAAATATATTACTAATGCCAATGAGATTTGCTGGGTTTTTAAAAAATAAGCAAGGTGTGTGTGTGTGTGTGTGCCTGCATTTCTGTGTGATGTTAATAACGAGAAACAAACATGCCAAGATATATCCAATTGCTAACAATTAAATCTATGTATATCTACTTTCCAATTGGTTGGTGAAACATACATAGTGAATGCTGCATTTGTTCTATACTGAATTGAATATTTTCCCTATCAAAGTTGTTTTGTAGTCATGGCTTTACATATCTCAAGCAACTAAATGGGTTGAGAGCTTGCCTTGACCATATGGATTGCGTTTTAAAATTTCCCTGCTTTTCTCTTGGGACTTTTTGTCTGTTCACTAAGTCTATTGCCTATTTTATAGGAAATTCACCCCTGTACTTGCTTATTTTATAATAATATAATATGCTCCATCTCTTTCTTGGTTCTCTTTTCCTGTGTTATCTGAGGTATACAGGATATCACAGGCATAAGATTCTTGCCTTGTGCTTGCTGCATTCATTGCGTTGCTATTTTTGACATACAATTCTCTTTTTTTGGGAAAGAAATAATTTCTTTTGACAATAAATCTGATTTAAATTATTGTTATACTATGCCTATTCCAATATTTCTGTATCATTAGTAAAATGGCATTAATTTCTCTTTGACACAAATAATTGGGTTTATATACTTGGAAGTTCCAGATAGAGTATATTTGCAAAATCACTGTAATTACTTTTATGAATATTTTGTAGCCAAAAAGTATACTGCATGTTTAAAACATTTATCCACAAAAGTGTATATGCATATTTTCAGAGAACAGGTATGAATCTTGTAATTATACAAATAAAATTAATAGGAAATCTTTCCCCTATTAATTTTATTAATTAATTACAATATTAATTCTATTAATTGTTAGTATGGATTCTGACAAATGTTAAAAAATGCCATTGGATGTAAAAGCACATACTTTTCATAACTGTAACTCCTTCAAATCCTGACTAGATCGTTATTGCACATTGCACCAGCTTTTTGTTCATGTTTCCTCCATCTGTGCAATTGGCTTAATTACAGACTTCATTACTTTTTTATTTTATTCCCGTTCCATATTTGGGAACCTGTAGAACAGTTGCAGATAAGCATCCCAAATGTCTGATGTTCAATCTCAAAAATGAAAACAATAGGTATTTGGTAAAACTGAAGAGGTGTTTCTAGGATACTAGTCAACTGACTAATGAATTATTAGTGGTTCCTTCTTTTATCAGGATTATGGGCTTGTCACAATCAGACAGAACCTTTGATGAGACCAGAAAGAAAAAAACCGCCATGTTATTTACATTAAAAAATGAAGTTTAGTTTTTATAAATAAAGCCCCTTTGAAGTGGGCGTGCCGGTAAGCCCTTCAGTAAAAAGGTAGTCTTAACAATAGTCCCTCATAGAGATAACTGCTTTTCAAGCAGGAGCCATCCTGTTGTGGACACCTATTTTTATATCTGAAATATGCAGTATGGGGAAAAAATGTAGTTTAAGCAGTGCCTCTTTCAGTTATTTTTATGCACTGTGAGTAATTCCCCTGAGAGCAGGAAACTGTAATTGTTTTTATAATTATATTTTAAACACTTATATATTATTAACTTGTTTACTTTCTCACCATCTGGGAGCATTCTGCAATCCATCTGTTTAGTGTAATTATGTAATTATGAATGTAAGCCTAGAATAGGTGATATGATTAACAAAAATAACTTTCATGATGCATACTAAAAATACAATATGTCTGTTAAATTACTCCTTGTGTCTGACCATCCGTCATTCATGCGTTATTATTTCTTGGTTGTACTCAGACAGTCAGATTTTATTACTTCAGGATTGTTGGTTTTTTACCACTTACAAAAAGACTGCAGAATCAATGGTGATTATTGCTGAAGAAAGCTTCTCAGCTTAGTAATGCTTCATGAAGGACATGTTTGCATTTTCTAGTCCAAGGGCAAGCAGAATGTTGGTTGCAGTCCACTAATCCGCATACAAGCTGGCCCATGGTGTACTTGTGGCCACTCTGTGATAAAAGTGGCTCTTGCAGGCATGAGCTAATGCAGATTGAATTTGCCAAGTCAAGCCACACAGGACTCAGGATTAGCAAGAGTGCTGGTATCCACATGGAGCTTGGGGCTGCCAATATGAGCCCATTTGCCTGTCTGTTTTCATTATTTGTCTACTCAGTATGAGAGTAGGTCTGTGCAGGCGCCTTCTCCCAGTAAATCTGAATTCAAACTACCAGCAGCAGCCCTACAGCTTAGCTCTTCCCAGGAGATAAAAGTATGGAGTGATAGACTAGGTAGAAGGTGGCAGGAACAGGACAATGGGCAGCAAGCAGGAGGCAAGCTATTTATGGCCATTTCAAAGAAGCATATTAACAGTATGAAGATGGGTGGAAGCAATCGGAAGAGTGGGTAGTGCTGAGTCTTCTTCTATTTCAGACCCTAATCACTTTCCTCATAGACACAGTGTGTACTACCTCAGCTTCACATTCATCTGCTAGTTTATTTAACCTACATTTAAAAAATTAAAAACCAAAAACATATGTTCCAAAACACATTTTGTCTCAAAATGTACATTTTCAGACATATTTTCATATGTTTTTGGCTCTAAGAACTGCATTAGAATGTTTGGGAAAGGTAAGATCCGGTGGAAAACATGGTTCCAATTCACACATTTAAGACATTGTTTCCCAAGTTGGTGGCCATGAACTCTCAAGAGGGTCAGAAAATATTTTCTGAGAGGTCACAACAGTTATTTTTGGTTGCAATTATTTTTATATTTTTTATACTAAATACTGCTGTTTTATTTTAATCCTCCTGATCGGCAGATAGATAATTTTAATCTGAACCAGAATTACAAGCAACCTAGAGTTCTGAATTATTTCTGTATCCCTTTGGGTGGATTTTCCTTTTGTACATGCACATCACTCCTACCTCTCTGAAAGAGCCACTCCCGTTTGTTTCTCTCTGCTCTTCCTCATCCATCTTTGGAAGATTGATGTCAGCCCTTTGGACCTCAGTGTCAGCCCAGCTCAAACACTCTTGAAGGAGGTGAGCACATGTGGATGCTGATGCCCAAGATGGCAGCAGGCTTGAAAAGTTGTTGCTGTTGCAGCAGTAGCATCTTACACTCCACCTGAGTCTCCCACACTTCTGGTGTGGTGATAGTAGTGCAGTGAAGGGAGAGGGGACCTAGTCAGGAAGATGTCTCCAAGCCCAACCTGAGTCATGGAAGGCAAGAGGATCAAAAACGTGAGGAAGTAGAACTGGTGAGGGGGTGGGGTACAGGGCAGGGTCCATGAGAAGGGACTCTTCATGGAAGGGTTTTTTGGAGGAGGAGACATGAAGGGTTTCCCCCACACACACACCCAAAAGTAAATTAATCCCAAAGTGTATTGAGACTGGGAAGTATTGCTGTGAGAGGAGTAGATTAAGCCGATTAATATCAAATTTCATGGAGATCAAATTTCTCAAATGACCCTGGTTTTGATACTCTTCCCTCCCAAATGTATGACTGGGTTAGGGTGTGTATGTCTCCTGTAACTATATAGAAATAGCCATATTCAGGCATCAGAACCGCTGGTTTCATCCACATGTTTTTTATAAACATGTCTAACCCTATACTTTCTGTTTTCACTGTGCAATAAGAAATCTGAAAAGGATAAAGTTCCTGCTTTAGCATAGGCACTGTATGTGGGCAAGAAGCCAGATTTCCCAGAATTCTTGCTTATTTGTAATACATACATGTAAACATGAACCTCTTCAAACTTATTATTTCTCATATGAACAAAGTTACAGTGTAGGGGGATTGTCCTTTAAGCATGTTGATGTGTCCAGTACCATCTTAATGGGATTTTCCTATTTCTTAAGTGTTGGAATTATATGAAGGGCTGAGGAAAATATTCTGTAATGTCAATCCTGATTTTAGAGTTGCTACCTTCAGTGCAACCAAACTACTTGAGTGTGAAAGGGTAGAATACTAATCGTGTTGTTTCAATATTGTTTAAAGCCATTTTTATTTTTCAGA